GTTGTGTTCTTTTATTCTTCTTTGCTACTTTTTGGTTCTTGTTCTCTAATTTCATCCAACATTTTAAACAAATTTTCAATGAAAAAAGAAAGAATTCATTATTACATGACCCATCTCGCCGTCAAATTGTTCGGTTACAAAGATTTGCATATTTCATTTTTTCTTGGAAAATATGGCGGAGATGAGAGGGATTAATGTCTTCTTCATCTTATTCTTCTCCCTTCTAAAAGACGAGAGCCGCTCCAGTTTCTCAACGCCGGTGGGCGGCGGAATGACGAGGTGAGCAACGGCGGCAGGGGGGTTGGCAAAAGTGACATAACGTTTCTTTTGAAACTCCATTGAATTTGTGGCGGCGGCGGCGTCTACAACTTTTACATCTTCAGATTGGTGGAATAATTCTGATTCCTTTAAGAATTGAAGCTCTTTTTTGGTGTTTTCGAGCTCTTCTTGGAGGGATGAAAGGCAATGAGCCATCACCATGCTTTCTTCCTTGGCCTTTTCGAGGCTTTGCTTTGTTTCTTCTAATTCAGCTGCAACGTTCCCTAATTTCAATTCGTTTGTGTCTCTTCGCTGATCTCTGCCATGCATCTATATGTGCATATTATTAAAACACCGCCCATAACAGTAGATCAAACGATTCAAGATTAAATCTTTTGAAAAAAAAAAAAAAACTAAGAATTTGAGGCGTAAAAGCAAAAAACAGAGGGAGACCTGTTTAAGCCTGTTGCTATAGAGTTCTCCGGCCAAAACTTTGTCGCCGAACAACGAAACGGCTTCCTTGACTGAACGAAATGGCTTTCTGGTATCAATCTCTGCCCTTTTGAGTTTGACACCTCCTGTTTCCATGTTGAATGGAACAAACCAAAAAAGAAAGTAAACTTGGGGTTCCTCCGGAAATTTGCGACAAAAACAGAGGACGAACTTTTAATGTTCTTCCCAACTTCCAAACAGAGAGAGAAAGAAGAGTGAATTGGGGAATGGAAGGAAGAAAAGAGGCAACGAAGAAATATTAGGATATGGCAAAGTAAGGAAAGCTTCGTTTCTTGGCTTCCAAGTTACTTGAATTCTGTTCATTTTTTGAGGTAGCCGAGAGTGAGAGATGAACAGTTGAGTATGAATACTCGAAGATTATGTGCTTGTAGTTGAAGGCAGAGCTCCTTTTTAACTTAGTAAGCTACTAGGTGTTACCTTAATCAGCATATACTTAGTACACCCATTAAGCTTGTAATCTATTCCTTTTTTTGTCTTCCGTTGGAGATCTTACTCCGGTGTGAAAAATCTTCATTAATACACAAAATGTTTTAAAATTATGAGACTGACACCAATAAGTAAAGGTCAAAAGAGTTAGTGGTGGATCTGTGACGCTATAAATGATATTAGAGCTAAATACAGGCCGATGTGTGAGCGAGGACGCTTGCCCCAAGGAAGTGGACTATGAGATCCCATATTAATTAGAGAGGGGTTAGTGGTGGGTTTGAGATGTTACAAATGGTAGACACCGAGTCGTGTGCCCAACGAGGGTGTTGGCCCCTAAGGAGGATTGGACTGTGAGCTTCCACATTAGTTAGTTGTGGGCTTGGGATGTTACAAATGGTATCAAAGTCAAACGCACAATAGAGGTGGACTGTGAGATCTCACATTGGCTGGCTGGGGAGAGGTTAGTCGTGACCTTAGGATATTACAAATGATATCAGAGACAGAGACAGACACCTTGCGGTGTGTCAGCGAGGACGCTGGCACTAAAAGGAGTGAACTGTGAGATCCCACATTAGTTGGAGAGGGGTTAGCTGTGGACTTGAAATATTACAAATGGTATTAGAGACAAGACATCGGATAGTGTGACAACGAAAACACTAGCCTTGTCTGAGTTCTAATTGACCAAACCATGAACATTCCACTTCGTCTTCTCCGTCCCTCTTCTAATTTCTCTCCATCTGCCCAAAAATCTTGTGTTGACCAAACCCTTTTTTAGGAATTGGGATCCTTCATCAAAGTTCTCATCTTTTTTCATTAAAGTTCGACTGTTTCAACTACCCCACCTCAAAGCACCTTCTCCCCGTTCATTGTTGCAACTGTATCGACTCCTTCCCTTCCCTCTCTCCCTGCTTTCTACCGCTTCTTACAATGTCGCTTCCTGCCCTTGGATCTTTCTCTCCGCTAACATCTCTGGCGTTCAGGGGCCGGCCTCGCTTCGTCATGTCCGGCCGATCCAAAGCCCTCTCTGTTGCGCCAATTTTGACCAAGTTTCAGAAGGATTGCGACACCCCTTTGCCGGTATTGCGCTACGTGGCCGATGCAATGGCCGACAATATGCGGGCTGGGCTCGCTATCGACGGCGGCAGCGATCTCAAAATGATTCTCAGCCATGTCGACACTCTGCCAACTGGGTATGTTTGAAAGTTCAAACCTTTCGCTTATACTGCGTCATTTTAACTGATCGTGAATTTGTGAAAAGGAATGAAAAGGGATTGCTTTATGGATTGGATCTCGGCGGCACCAACTTTCGGGTTCTTAGAGTGCAATTGGGCGGCAAAGAAGAACGTGTTATCGCCACTGAATTTGAACAAGTTTCAATCCCTCAACACCTCATGTTTGCCACATCTCAGGTAGAACAATATTAGTGTGTTAAACTGGATTTAATGTTTCAAACATCCTTAATCTCATTGAAGCAATGAACTTCCTTGTTGTTCTGAAGGAGCTCTTCGATTTCATTGCCTCTGGTCTGGCAAAATTTGTAGAGGGAGAAGGCAACAGATTCCACCTCCCTCCTGGAAGAAAGAGGGAGATTGGATTCACATTCTCATTCCCTGTGAACCAAACTTCCATTGATTCTGGCATTTTAATCAAGTGGACTAAGGGTTTTGCTGTCTCTGGAACGGTATTATTTTCCCCATATTTTAGTTTGCCACTGTCGAAACGGCATAGCCATTGATTGTTTCGAACTCGTAACAGGCTGGGAAAGATGTCGTTGCTTGTCTAAACGAAGCCATGGAACGACGAGGACTAGATATGCACGTTTCCGCCCTTGTATGTTATTGCTCCTATAACCATCCTTAGAAAAGGTTTCTACTTTGATGCACCATTGATTGTTCATAATCGAAAACAGGTAAATGACACGGTTGGAACCTTAGCTGGAGCTAGATACTACGACGATGATGTCGTGGCTGCTGTGATTTTAGGGACCGGAACCAACGCTTGTTATATAGAACGAAAGGATGCTATTCCTAAGCTGCAAGGCCAGGCATCCTCTTCAGGGAAAACTGTATGTACCTCTAGTTTAGTAGATTATTTCATCGACCGCATATTAATGCTGTTTTTTTGTTGCCAAAAACTCGTTCGTTTTAGATTATCAACACGGAGTGGGGAGCATATTCAAATGGTCTTCCTCTCACTGTTTTTGATAGAGAGATGGATGCTGCCAGTATAAATCCAGGGGAGCAGGTGAATTCTATTTATTAATGTTCATACAATGCAGCTTATCCATACAGCATAGAAATGTAATGTGTTTATGTATTTGCGTGTTGGGAAGATCTTTGAGAAGACAATAGCAGGAATGTATCTGGGCGAAATTGCTCGTAGAGTGCTTTTGGCAATGGCTGAATTCGCCCCTCTTTTCGGCAAATCAATTCCCGAAAAGCTGTTTACGCCGTTCGTCCTCAGGTATCGCCTGCACCTCATCCTTCACTCATATGTCTTCATGACGAACAATGTGTAGCAATTGTATGCAGCACTCCAGATCTATGTGCTATGCATCAAGATGTTTCCAATGACCTTCAAGCCGTTGGATTGATCTTGTACAACGTTTTTGGGGTAAATGTTTTAAGCTTTTCATGTCGAATCTTCGTTCTAATATGGAAATAACATCCGAACACGCAGCGATTCGTGGAAGGCGAGAAAGAACATGAGAGTTAATGAACAGATAATGTTCAGTGTTCCTAATCTGATTGGTCCAATGCAAGCAGGTGGAGTCGGATTTAAGTGCAAGAAAAGCTGTGGTAGAGGTGTGCAACACGATTGGTAGGCGGGGCGGGCGATTGGCAGGGGCGGGAATAGTAGGAATCCTGCACAAGATTGAAGACTTTGAAGATGTAAAGCTTGGAAAGAGGAGAGTTGTGGCGATGGATGGAGGATTGTATGAGAATTATCCACAGTACAGGAGGTACCTTAAAGAAGGAGTAGCAGAGCTTTTGGGAACAGAGTTGGCCAAGAATGTGGCCATTGAACATACCAAGGATGGCTCTGGCATTGGGGCTGCTCTTTTGGCTGCTTCAAACTCTATTTATAGAACATGATTTCTAGACGGGAAAACGCTTGGTTTTTTTTTTTTTTTTTTTTTTTTCTAATTATGATAATAATTGTAACTTCTGTATTTATTTTTTATTGGTTTGAAGCTATGTGATGACATTTTTCAATTTATTTGAATTTTTTGTAATAAGTGAAATCCCACAGTTGGGGATCGCTGCTTGCTCCCTATCGCTGCGGATTTTGTGATTCCACATTGAATGGAGAGGGGAACTCCTAAGAGTTAGATTGTGAGATCCCAGTTCTATTGAAAAGAGGAATGTATCATTCTTTTTTATAAATATGTGGAAACTTCTATTTAGTAGATACGTTTTAATTGATATGAGCAGCAACTAGAGGTGGTACAGTGTTGGAGGATATGGCTGTAGCAGCTAAACGACGGAGCTACTTGGTTTATCTCCGGCGAGCGATCTAGAGAGCCACCGTCAAATCCAACTGAAACACCAATAAACACCTGATTCAGCTTAAGAAATTCACACCACTAGCCTCCTGCTGCAAGAGGCCTCCATTTACTGATCAAAGAGCAGCTCAACATGCTTGAAAATGCTTCCCCATTCCACGACTTCACTGAACCGCGATTCTAAGATGCGACTTTGATAAAGTCCGACCAAAAAAATGGGCCAATGGGTCAATGGGTGTGCTAAAATGGGCCAATGGGTTAATGGGCCTGTAAAAAATTCTGACCCAATAAGGCAAGAGTAATCAACGCAACTTTTTGCACAGAATTCGGCCTCCGACAATCAACGCAACTCTGTGCACCAAAATTCGTCCTCCGATAATCAACGCAACTTTGTGCACCAAAATTCGGCCTCCGACAATCAATTGGAGTTGGATTCGTCGATCTTCCTTCGTCATTTTCAAGAATGGTCTGTCGGCTTTCTCATTTTGGTGATGTTAAAGGTAGTCTCAGATTGTAAGGTTTTGACATTATCATTTAATTTTTTGCAGATCCGATTCATACTTTTGCAAAATAGGCAGGGCAAGACCCGTCTGGCTAAGTATTACGTTCCGCTCGAGGAATCCGAAAAGCACAAGGTCGAGTACGAGGTATTTTTCCAATTCCCTCATAAATTTTGTTTCTTAATTCTCCGATTCCAATTTTTTCTTTCCAGGCTAAGTTCTAGGTCTTTTCTTTTGATTCAATTGCAGGTTCATCGATTGGTGGTTAATAGAGATCCCAAGTTCACAAATTTCGTTGAGGTGAGAACTTTTTGTTGTGATTTTGTGGGTTTATGTGATGAAATTTTGATCTTAGGCTGTTGCGTCCCAGTATTTGTCGAAATTTGAAGCTCGATTCTATTCAATTGATTTCGTTTAAGTGGAATGACGTCAATCGCTTAACCAAGTTCTCTGTTGCTTGAGTTCTTCCATTTTATGTCATCATTTATTTAATTTCTGGATGTTTTCTATGGAAGTTTCTTTCAAAGAGGGTGATGATGACTAGCTAAGGAAATGGTTACTGTTTTCTGGTTTATGTAGGCATAGTTGTAGATTAACTTGTGCTGTGATAGAGAGTTCGTTCTTCACGATTCTTGGCCGGGATTTGTTTCGTTTCAGTTGACATTTTTCAATTGCCTTTTGAGCATGAATCTTATCATTCATTGGTTTACTTTTACTTGTGGGCTGCGTAATGCTTTCATCTCGTTTTCATGTAAGCTCTAGCTTATTGCAATCTCCACCGCTTTTGCAGTTCCGAACACACAAGGTCATCTACAGACGATATGCAGGATTATTTTTCTCCCTTTGTGTGGACATAACAGACAACGAGTTGGCCTATCTTGAGTGTATTCATTTGTTTGTGGAGATTCTGGATCATTTCTTCAGCAATGTGTGTGAGCTCGATTTGGTTTTTAATTTTCACAAGGTTTGTTCTTCATTTTCTTACTCTTGCTTCCACCATATTGTTTACCAATGTAGGTTCTGTATATCTGTTTATCTATTCTATTTATCAAGTAAATAGCTATACCGGTTGTCGTCAATTTCTTAATTGAAGAACAATTTATCTTTCCTACTACCTGATGCATTTGCTGCATTCTCTGTTTGTGAGGCTCCAATTCAAATTCTTTGTGAACATCAAATTCCTTGCATATTTTCTCGTTTCCTTTAGTTGATGACGTTTCTTGCATATATATTTGCCTCCCTTCTAGTTGTTAGTTGTAAGTTTGAAGATTCGTTATTTCAGATTTGTTATTGTAATTGTTGTGTTGAATCTGCTACCAAATTGATCCCCATGTTTATGCTGAATCTGATGAAGGTCTATCTGATACTTGATGAATTTATTCTTGCTGGAGAACTCCAAGAAACGAGCAAAAAGGTAAAGTATTGTTTGCTTATTCTTAGTAATTGTGATTTTCCCTTTACCTGACTGTCAAAACACCTGCCGATACAATCTTCATAGAGTTGTAGATGTTGTCCATGCCTTGCCATGAAGCCACATCATGAGCTGGAGTATCAGTTTTTTCAAAGAATATTATGTTCTTAGTAACTTATTCATACGGATTTTATTTGCCTAAAATCTCACGTCTAAATTACTTTTTTCCATCTTCAAAAAACTTTCAGGCGATTATTGAAAGAATGGGGGAACTGGAAAAGCTGGAGTGAAGATAGTACATGTCAAAGAGCTAAGATTGCAATTTGTTTTCCGTGACAGAGTTGATTGTGTTGCGATTTCAGTTTTCTTTGTTTCCCCCGCAGTATATTTGTCCGTGTGGTCTTTGTTGTGACAGATAGAACAAAGAAAAAATTGAACAGAATTTGAGTCCCTTGCATCACCTTTGCATAGTTTTTGAACATTTCAGAACATCAACCCTCTATAAATAGTGAAATCTACATTATTCATTCTTGTTGATATACTTCTAGAATCGAAGTTATTATCTCAATTATTCTTTATTTTGGATATGTGTGATCTGAGACGTAACATCATCATTATAGAACATTGCCTAGGGACACTTATGCCTGCCACCATGTGTAGTCATATTAGCATAGCAGGGACAAACATCATAGTTGCCTGAAGTGCCTGGTGGAACGCATTGACAGCGAGCGCAGCATGTTCCACATGCCCTCTTGCAGATCTTTTGCCGCGATGATAATTGGCATCTCGCATCACAAACTTCCCCACAATCTGCAATAGATTCAGGTATTGGTCCGGAAGCAAGAAGCATTAACATAAAAATGTGGGTGCAGGTGCTCAAAGCTCTCTGTTACCTATCTCGTCAGGAAGAGGACTATCAACCTGAGTTGTGATAACCTGAAAGGACAATACAGTGAGGTAATAAGGCCACAAAGTTGAGAGTATCAGAAATGAACAGAGAAATCAAATGGAAGAAGGATTACCATTTGGGCTGATTCCATAAGGAGCACAAAAGCAAAAGAAATAAGAAGCATAGCAAACACAAGACCTTTAGTTGCTGCCATTAGAAATCTGGATGGGGTATTGGTTATGCAAGAGGTGTCGGTTTATAGGGGGTTGTGGAAAGGGAATACAGTGAAGAAATCTAAGAAGTTAGGTAAATATTTTTTGGTTGGGTTGGTGGGGTAGGTGGGTATAATTGGTATGAAATTTGCTTTGAGTAGTAGGCATGAACACGGGTGCGGGTATTACATTGCATCTTTTCTCTTAATGTTCGGGAAACGGTTTGAGCTTTGAAGTCAAGAAATGGTACATTCAAGAGTCTGTCAGGTATTACATTGCATCTTTTCTCATAATGTTCGGGGAACCGTTCGAAGTTGAAATATTGTACCGTAAGAGAAAGGATCAAGCTGGTTACTAGAGTGTTTGAGCTTTGAAGTCAAGAAATGGTCAAGAGTGTTGAATAATATAGTGTACATGAGAGTCGTTGTTAAGTAAGAGCAGCAGAATTTATTATTTTGTGTTGTTGAGACCATTACGATCAAAATTTAGAATTTTAAAAAAATATATACAAAACATAAAAATCAAATTTAAAAAATATATATATAATTTGAAAAATTATTTTTGGGTAGGCCACTCATTCCCCTTGGGTTTTTTTTCCTTAAAAATTGGAACTAAATATTGGAAAGGAACTTCAATCTCGACCGTGGATCTGCGTAAGACAAAATCTGAACGGCTGAACGGCTAGGGTTTGGGCTTGGGCTTGGGCTTGAGTTGGGCCGGTCCAGGCCTCTGAAAGTGAAACCCTAGAAGCTCCTTTCACTGTTATATAAGGATGTGGTGTAGGGGTTTGGAAAGTACAGTCAGACGACGTAGTTTCTCCATCTCTGTAATTTTTCAGTGTGTGTTTTTGGCATTATTAAAATGCTTGTGGCCAAAAAAGCGGCGAACAGATGATGAATCTATAACATTGAAGAGGAGCTTGCAATTAATTTCTTATTTTAATTCTGCAAGCAATGATCATTCTTATACTTCCATGACTCTGATGTTCAAAGCTTTTCCCTTTCCTTCTTTTCTTTCTTTCTCATCTTCACCATCGCCATCACCATCATTGATTGCCATGCATTTTTTTTCCGTGATCAAAATTCATTTTTTAGATAGAATCGATATAATCTCTAAGAAATTTTCAGGAAGATGGTGAATAGCGATACTGTCTTGTAGAGCAGAGTAGATAAGTTGCCAAATCGCCATTGATCTGCCTTCAAATGATTGAGGCTGCTGCTGCTACACCTCCAAAATCCGAATGGCTTGATTGAGGTTCGACTCTAAAATGAAATATATGAATCAAGTCTATAAATTTTATTTACTAAATATATTAAATTTTGCATGTAAATTTCATACTAAATATATTAAATTTTCTCATAAAAGATTAAAAGATTAAAATAATAATTTTTTAATAGAATAAGTCTCATAAAAAATTAAAAGTTAAAAAAGTCATTCTGGTACAAGAATAAGATGCTGGGAGTACAAGATTAGGTCATGCCAAGCACACATGCTCTAGGAAAATTGTATACCGTACACTTCCCGGTGTTGCATGCCAAAACATCAATATTATTCAAAGTACAGAAAATTTTGAAATGAATGTGCCAAAACATCGATATTAAAAGTACGGACTGGAAAATTTTGAAATGGATGTATCGGGGTAATTTCATAAAAAAAAAGAGAGAATCTCCAGCAACGTTCAATGCCAAAATGAATGTATCGGGTAATTTCATAGAAAAAAGAGAGAATCTCCAACAACATTCAATGTGTTATAAAATGCCAAATCATGGTTTAAATCTGAGAACTCGTATGAGTTCTTGATCATCTACCTTTTAGTCATCCGGAAGCACTAACCAGGCATCCCCAAGGAGATGGCAAAGTCAATCTAAAAACAAAAATTTAGAACTACTCTACTCTGCCAACTATATATAAGTGGGCTGTTTTATGGCCGGAATATTGACGTTGACCAGGGTTTGCATGACACAATCATTGAAGTTGAGCCTCATTGCAGTACCTCTTGAAGCTCAAAGCCTCATCAGCCAGAAACTCGCTGTTACCATCCAATCGAATTGGTAAATTCATGATTGATTACTGAATGTATATTATTATGCAAACGAAAAACAAAAAAGAGAGACAGAGAGACAACTTACAAAATCCGCTCAGCCATTTGCAATGGCTCCCACCTAGGACTCCAAGGATAGTCGGTAATAAGCTGCGACTTGATGGGCGCACCATGGGAGTTGAAATGCTAAACAATATATGGATATAATTAGAAAGAGGGGGCATCTCAACAATGCCATTCCTAGTCATAGCGAACAGAAAAATCCTTGGAAACTAGAGTTACACAAATTGCACCTATCATGTCATTTGATCACTTCAAGACGTGCAACCTTACAAAAATTGGTTTACCAAAGATTCATTATCAACATATTTATGAAAAATGTAAATGAGAACGAAATCTGCAGTAATTCTGTCAAAACTATAAGGAAGAGTTCCCACGACCACAGGAGACATGTTGATGGAAAACAAACGTACAAGCATATATTTATGGCACTTATCTGTAAGGTATCTTCCTTACTATGCATTGATAATCAGAGAAAAGGATGCCAGAAAGGGGAATACAACAGTAACCCAGCCTATCAGGGAGGCTCTATGATAAACAAAGCACACAAAGTACGTGATATCACAGTACTCGATCCCCTAACCTTTATACAGACTTCACCTTCCTAAACGTAATCCCTTGTCCCCACCTTACACGAAAATTCATAACTAACTTGTCAGTGGTGTAATGCCCTTCTTACCCCTCCTTGTATATGGAATAGTAATCGGGGACCTCATACAATCATGTTAACTAGTAAGCAAAGTTGATATGTACGAGAATTTTCAAGATTTAAGACAAAGCTACATTACCTGAGAACTTTGCAGCACCAGAGAAGGCTGCTTCTTCGGAAATTGGCTTGAAATGAGGAAGTGCGCCTAGCATTAACAAGAAATTCCCAAAAACAGAAGGGAAGGAAAATGAAGTAAAGAAAACTTTTCACACATAAAACCATAAATAAAGTTGGAAAAATATTAATAAATAGATGGCACATTGACTCAAATCTAGAATCAGCCATATTGTCGATCAATGATCATGAACTGCATCCTGTACCCTACCTGACCAGACCAATGCACACTATCTTGGTTTAATATAAAACCAAAAGGATTTTTACAGATCAAATTACGTTCATCACTGATTGAGTATGGTTTGTGTGTGCGTGAGTGTAACAAACCATTAACAATTTGAAAGAAAGATTTGTGTGAAGTCATGTCCTGGAAATGTCTCAAGAAACTTGACAGGATGGAGAAACCATTTGAAAGGATAAATAGTTGTAAAATGTCTTGGGTATCATCCAAAATTTTGCAGCCAGCAGGGACAATAACTGACAAACGCCTCGGCAGCATAATCAAACTTGACATTATGAATTTGTCCGAGGTTCATGTTATGGTTCTGTATCAAGGAGGTGTATTTTATGCAGACGTCACTTTTCTGTGATGATTTGGAGAGATTTCTCAGTGGTAAGTGTTAGTAAGCCAACTACAGGTTTATCCAAAAGAAAGAAAAAGGTAATCCAAGTGCATGTTGGGATAAGTCAAAGCTTGTCAGCTTCTTGAACAATCGGTGTTCTGCATTATTAACCGGAATATTTGATTAGATAGAAATAGGTGAACCTTCAAGAATGTAGAAAGGTCTTGAGAGGAAGTTTAGAGTGAGTGTCGCTCTCTTCAATGCCTCTCTTTGGATCTTCTCTACAAAATTTTATTTCTTTTCCTTTTTACCGTTTAGAAAATAATTCACAGTAATGTTTTTGATGTTGAGGGATCTTTAGTTTCAGGATTCTCTCTAACAAAGAAAAACTGAGGGCTATCTTTGTCATCACTGGACTCTGGAATTTTGTACTAAATATTTGGGGGGTGATCGTCTCCAAAGTTAAAATTATTACATCTGAATCTCTACTGGACAGGGAATAAATCCTAACAACGTAAGATTTTGAGGAGATGGAGAAGCAGTTATTCTGGTCGAGAGTTAAAGAAAGCTATCAAAACCAATCACCAGAGTCAACTAAAAGTTGCGTGAACAATATCTTTTTCACAGTAAATAATTGGAAAAATTCCATATAACAACATTCTTGATAGTGATGGGATGCTACATATTAAGTATAGGAAAGGTCACTTAATACCAGGAATGTGAACACCCCAGAGGCAGTGATAACTGTAGCCGTTCGACAGAACACCTAAAAAACAAAGAAGTTCATGCCATTACTGATCCGGGGCATGCGCGCACATGCACATAAATTAATAGTTCGATAACGACTTTAAAAAGGAGAAGATGGATGGAAATAAATTTTTAGGACTTTAAAAAGGAGAAGAAGATGGATGAAAATAAATTTTTAGGAGTCTCACCGGGTCAGCTTCTAAAGGCCTTCCAAAGAAGGAGTCCAACGCCTCTATAAAGCCTCTCCTAACATCAATCAATGAAACTGCCTCCAGAACCTTCATCAGAATGATAGAAGTATAAATACTCTATTTTTGGCGATTTCCAGAATCAAGGCCCAGTTAAACAACCCAGAGGGAGCCATCTGACCAACAAAAATGTAACCAACCTGTTTCTCAAGACTCTCTTCTAGGTGAGGAAGATATTCAGCCATGCACCTTGCAGTCAGTTAAAAAGAGAAAAGTGAAATCACTTTCAGCACCCAATCCTGACCGCCACAGAATTAGAAAGGAGATATAAGAGAGAGAGAGCATCCTACATTCCATCTATCCATGAAGGAAGTTTGATATCCTCAATGGATAACAGGGCCTTCAACTCAGATGTAGAAACCAATTTCAGACGAGGTGCAGCAGGAGTAGATGCATATTTTCTCACCACAGGATATAAAACCTACAAACAAATTATGAGAACGGGAAAAATAGAGGAACGGAAAGACCAGAGGTTCAAAGAGAGAGAAAAGTAAAAGGAAACCTGCAAAAATATCTTCTGTGGATGCCTCCACAGGCATCCAGGAATCATCTTGTTAATATCAATGTCTACCAGCGGCACAGCAAATTTGACCTCCTCTGGCTATGCTAAAGTTCAAAGGCATATAAGGGACATGTATAAGAATGAAGAGAGAGAAAATAGAGTCCTTAGTATTCATCTATTTACTGATATTCAAGGGAAGTGTAACCATATACTTTAAACTATTACCTTCTCAAAACCTGAACTCAAATGCATTTCAATTCCCTGCACATAGGTATGATTTATTATTTTTGGATTTAGTTAACCAGTGTAAATGAAAGATTCTTAAGGAGAAACCACAGACATCAAGGTCCAGCCGCTTGCCTAGCAATAGGAATACATAGTTATAAGCAAAAAACACATACTGAGGACGGTAAACTTCTACCCTAAGATTTTTTCAAGCGTGAAAAATCTGGAATAATTATCTGGCCGTGGCAGCAATTGTCTCATTCAGATTCCAAAGACACCGGGCCCAGTACCTCACCCCTCAAATTCATAGGTTAATGCAAGTGATCACCAAGTTAGAGTTAACAGTCTATCAAACCTTATAATGAAGAACATTACCTCCCTAGATAACATAGTACAAAGTTCAAACTTCAACCTTTCATCATCAACTCCTTCAACACGTTTCCTTTGGTACGACACATATCGATCCCTTGAAAAAAGTAAAGTTGCCATTAAATTCAAGGTGAGTTATACCCAAGGCATTAGAAAAGAAGGATCAATCACAGGAAAGTCCTGAAAAACCTTAGTTCTTGAAGGAGGCTAGTGAGCCGTGATGGATCTTTGCTGTTCCAGTCACGTAGACAGTTCTGTAATGAATTATGATCTCGTTCTCCTTCATCAACCTTACTTGAGAATGGATGGAAATTTTCATCTTCTGCTCCAAACATAATATCAGGAGCAGAAAATGGTGTTTCAGCATTGTACATGATGTCCCCTACGACATGTAAGAGCTATCAAACAGCTAGGTACGGTGACTCTACAAAGCATTCAATACAGGGAAAGGGAAAAGAATTGAAAGGATATTATGAAAACTACAATGGAAAACAGGTCTTACATCTGACGAATTCAAGGCAGTAAGGTACGATCAGCGTGAACCTATCAATAATTCCAGGGCAGTGTCTACTGCCAGACCACATGTTCTCAATCTGAATATCGAAAGAGTAGGAATAAGTTATTCGTTCTCGTTTCTTATTGCGGTAAGATAATGACATCATATTCTATGTTCGTGGTGGAAAAGGGGAGGAAGGAAAGAAAGAACACCCAATATCATTCATTTCCGATCAATTCAGTGAACTAATCTAATTCCAAACCAGTACAAACATTACCATCAATTTCAACATCAATTTTGTTACCACTGAATTTCCAGGGAGAGATAGGAATCCGAAATGTTACCTTGACGGGGAGAGGAAAGTGGCTGAGCAGGTAATTGATATGAGCAGCAATGAGAGGTGGTACAGTGTCGGAGGACATGGCTGTAGCAGCTAAACGACGGAGCTACTTGGTTTATCTCCGGCGAGCGATCTAGAGAGCCACCGTCAAATCCAACTGAAACACCAATAAACACCTGATTCAGCTTAAGAAATTCACACCACTAGCCTCCTGCTGCAAGAGGCCTCCATTTACTGATGAAAGAGCAGCTCAACATGCTTGAAAATGCTTCCCCATTCCACGACTTCACTGAACCGCGATTCTAAGATGCGACTTTGATAAAGTCCGACCAAAAAAATGGGCCAATGGGTCAATGGGTGTGCTAAAATGGGCCAATGGGTTAATGGGCCTGTAAAAAATTCTGACCCAATAAGGCAAGAGTAATCAACGCAACTTTTTGCACAGAATTCGGCCTCCGACAATCAACGCAACTCTGTGCACCAAAATTCGTCCTCCGATAATCAACGCAACTTTGTGCACCAAAATTCGGCCTCCGACAATCAATTGGAGTTGGATTCGTCGATCTTCCTTCGTCATTTTCAAGAATGGTCTGTCGGCTTTCTCATTTTGGTGATGTTAAAGGTAGTCTCAGATTGTAAGGTTTTGACATTATCATTTAATTTTTTGCAGATCCGATTCATACTTTTGCAAAATAGGCAGGGCAAGACCCGTCTGGCTAAGTATTACGTTCCTCTCGAGGAATCCGAAAAGCACAAGGTCGAGTACGAGGTATTTTTCCAATTCCCTCATGAATTTTGTTTGTTAATTGTCCATTCCAATTTTTTCTTTCTCGGCTAAGTTCTAGGTTGTAACGGCTCAGATCGACTGCTAGCTGATATTGTCTTTTTTGAACTTTTCATTTCGGTTCCCCTCAAGTCTTTAAAACGTATATCCTAGGGAGGTTTTCACACCCTTATAAATGGTGTGTTCTCCTCTCCCACCAAGGTTGGATATCATAATCCACTCCCTTTGAGGCGATCGCGGGCACTCTTTACTACTTCCCAAGTTCACAAATTTGGTGTTGAGGTGAGAACTTTTTTTTGTGATTTTGTGGGTTTATGTGATGAAATTTTGATCTTAGGCTGTTGCGTCCCAATATTTGTCGAAATTCGAAGCTCCATTCTATTGAATTGATTTCGTTGAAGTGGAATGACGTCAATCGCCATAGTACAAGGAATGGTCGTTATAAAATGAATGAAATGGGGCATTGACAATTAGCTTGTGGAAGATTGGTAGTATTGCCAAACCACTCCCTCTTCCTCTCCTACTTCTTTCTCGCGTCTGCAACTCAGACCTAAATTCCCTCTTCTCTGTATTGCTACCACCTCACAGGTTTGCTTCTTCAGATCCCCCTTTTTCCCCTCTCGATTTCGGGTTTCTTGCAATTTCTTCCTCCCCAGGTTTTTACTTGTGCTGTTTATATCGCCTTCTTTGTTTATTCAATTTTGGGTTGGTTGTCTATTGGGTCTTTGCAATATAGGTTGTGGATGGCTCGATGGTAATTAGAAACGTGATTTTTATTTGATTACTCGTGGGATCGCATTGTCATTGTGGAGGCTCCGGTTTGAACTTTTGTTGTTTTTCGTTTTCTAAATCGAGATTTGATTATGCTTATTTGTTTTGGACAGTTTTTAGTGTTGGGATTGTGCATAATATTATCAGTTCCGATGCGAATGTTTTGTTTGTTGATTCAGTCTGGAGGTTTTCGTTGGTACCTCGATTCCAAGTGGTGTGTTCTTTGTAGAGAGGTTTTGGAGGTTCGGAACCTCATTCTTTGCCTTATTTGTTTCCCATGTAGATTTAGTTTGAGATCTTGTAGTCAATTGGGATTTGGGATTGTCTGAGATCTCTTAGTCATGAGTCCACGACCGATGCCCTGTGCTTGAAGAGGTTTTGTTGCATCCACCCTTTCGTGGGAGATGCAGATCGCCTTCACAGGCCGTTCTCTTGATTGTGTTGTGAAACTTTTTTTTATTGGAGAGGATCGGAAGGGTTTTTCAACACATGGAGGATGGTTTTTGAAGGAGGTCTGGAGAGCGTCTTATTCTTCCAATTGAATAGGATTGGAGAAATGAGATTGCAAACACGCCCAGTCAACAAAAAGACAAGCTTGCCTGCCCGTTAGACTTTTTTTTCTGTTTCTTTTTTCTCTCTCCCGAAGCTTGTACAGATTCCTGTTTTGCCTAAGCTTTTTGTTTTGGGTGAGTTTTTCTTTAAATAATTGAAAGTTACGATGTCCTTTGCACCTTCAAGTATTTATCTTTTTCAAGGTCAAAAGATAAACAAAATCAACAATTATGCAGAATCGTTTGCTCATCTGCATTCACATTCATCTCAACACAAACTTTAAAGACATTTCAGCACTTTGTGCACCGAATTCAGCCTCCGATAATCAATTGGATTTGGATTCGTCGATCCCTTCGTCATTTTAAAGAATGGTCTGGCGGCCTTTTCATTTTGGTGATCTTAAAGGTAGTCTCAGAATGAAGGTTTTGACATTATCATTTGGTTTTTTGCATATCCGGTTTATACTTTGCAAAATAGGCAGGGCAAGACCCGTCTGGCGAAGTATAAGGTCGAGTGCGAGGTATTTTTCCAATTCCCTCATGAATTTTGTTTCTTAATTCTCTGATTTCAATTTTTTCTTTCCAAGCTAACTTCTAGGTCTTTTCTTTTGATTCAATTGCAGGTTCATCGATTGGTGGTGAATAGTGATCCCAATTTCAGAAATTCTGTTGAGGTTAGAACTTTTTGTTGTGGTTTCGTCCCAGTTTTTGGCCGGGATTTGTTTCGTTTCAGTTGACATTTTTCAATATTTTCAAAGTTATTTGTCTACTTTTACTTGTGGGCTGCGTAATGCTTTCATCTCGTTTTTATGTAAGCTCTAGCTTATTGCAATCTCTACCACTTTTGCAGTTCCGAACACACAAGGTCATCTACAGACAATATGCAGGATTATTTTTCTCCATTTGTGTGGACAAAACAGACAACTATCTTGAGAGTGTTCGTCTGTTTGTGGAGGTTCTGGATCAATTTTTCAGCAATGTGTGTGAGCTCGTTTTGGTTCTTCATTTTCTTACTCTTGCTTCCACAAATTCCTTGCATATTGTTGTGTTGAATCTGCTACCAAATTGATCCTCATTTTTATGTTGAATCTGATGAAGGTCTATCTGATACTTGATGAATTTATTCTTGCTGGAAAACTCCAAGAAACGAGCAAAAAGGTAAAGTATTGTCTGCTTATTCTTAGTAATTGTTTGCTGTGGCAAAATCTTCGATGGTCTGACACAAAGGTTATAGGCGCCACAAAATCAGCTCGAACCAAGCGCCACAGATATTCGTTTATATGAAGATCATGTTTGTCAGGTGCATTTTCTTTATAGGCGCAACAAAATTTTCTTCATATCTCTCAGGTTTCTGATAAATTTTGGAAATTGGTTCTGTAGGTAAAGGTTGAGTCGCTGATAGATATGGAGATGCCACTTCGAACCTCGAAAACAAAACTGCTAGCTGGAATAGATCTGATCCGCCGACTGAAGGTATCTGCACTGGAGACCGAGAATGAGAGTAAATTGAAGAGCAAGCGGTCGGAGCTTGAATTTAGGTGCCAAATGGTAGAGAATGTACTGGGCATATTGGAAAAATTAAAAAGCTCCGGCAATGACAGCAATGAGAAGTGGAAGGATGGTGTCATTGAGGCCCCTGTGCGTAGACTTTCCTGGACTCTGATATATTATAAACCCTAATATATATATATATATATATATATTAACAAAATAAATCATTATTTTTTAAAGTTAAAATACTAAAATTAAAATACTAAAAAAGCTACATAAATAAATAAATAATAATAATAATAATAATAATAACAGCACATAAATTTTGATTTATTCTCATCAAAGAACCATATATATCGCCAGATGAATACCAAAGGAATTGGACGTTTACACAAAAGTAACCTAAGAGTTGAAGTTATCTTATACGTTGGTTGTGCAGGAGAGATTTGATCATTTTCCTGTTGGTCCATCGTCATTCCATCAGACCCCAAACCTGAATTCATGATGAAATAAAGAGTAAGATTACCAACTAAACGAAATTACATTAATGATGAACTAAAGACGAGAAGTTAACAAACCTGTATCTTTCCGCCAGCGGTGCCAACAAAGAGCAATCCTCCATCATCATCTGTAGTTAGGTACGTAATCTTTGTGTGGCTACCACTAGCACTACCTAATTTAACTGAACCAATTTTTGTATACTTTTCTTTCGACAAGACCTCGATAATCATGCCCAATCTCGAGGCTGTAAACAACAAGTCGGTGCTTGCAGCCATGTGATGGATGTCAACTCCAGGCGAAAAGGATCCCACCATTGTCTTGTTCGACAGCGAAAATGTCTTTCACATTCGAAACAAAAACGCAAAAGAAACATTATCACTTCATAATAACCATCACAAGTATTTGATTCAAGGGTTTATTTAATTTTGTTGATTTTGAGTACCTTGCCTGCAGTTCCATCCACTGCTGAACCGGCAGCAAACAGCAGGTCCCCGTGTAAGTGTAAGGAGTAGATGTTTTGTTTCCATAACAACTTTCTTACGCCAGCATAGAATGTGCTTGTAGTATGTTTGGTCAAATCCACCTCCTGCCAATTATCAATACAACAATTTTGGTAAACCATATCACTAAAAATTGTCATCTTCCCGACTCGCCAGATTGATAAGATGTTGGGCTTGGTCATTACTGTTTTTTCTCATTGATTGAAATTTAGAATTCCCTCTAATTCGCTAAAAACGTTACTACTTGTGATAATGAAAGTAACGAAAGCAATAGATTTCTAAGATTAGGGGTACCAGTATACAGTCACCAGAGCAACCGCAATAAAGTTTATCTTCTGATAATGCCAGGGACTTGACGTATTTATTGAAATTTATGTGCTTGGGAACTCCAGAGAAGTTGTACACCTGTAATATCCAATCCAACAAGTATATTATCTTATCAAGAGGATTGAATTCTACGGATATTGGTTCTTCCAGCTCTAGTAGCCTGAACCGAAGTTACCTTAACGCCAGTTCCTTGAGAAACAAAGCATGCGACATTGGCGTTGGCTTTCATGTCATAGATTGGCTCCTTCACTTCATGAACTTGAACGCACTGTATTTTTTCACACTTGACGGTCCATACCTGTAAGAGTGGTGTTTTCCGAGAATTAATGGTGGAAGTTTGATCGAAATAAGATTTGCTATCAGATGCAGTGAGAAAAAGGAAGGCCAATTTGTCGTTCTCTTAGGGAATAAAATGCAGTAGAAAGAACCGCAGCCATAATCAGATTAGATTGAATCTTGTCCTTTAGAATGTTGATTGATCCGATCACTATTGTTCAAAGAAACCACTACGTAATTTTTCTTTAGAAGAAAACTCGGCATAACATGATCAAAGAAGTTTTACCCGGATTGTTTTGTCTAAGGAACCGCTGTATAATGCGTCGCCCGAAGAGGAAACACACAGGCATGTTACAGCTTTTGTGTGCTTGCGTGCTTCTTGGATCAACTTCAATACTTTATCTCCAGCATCCCAAACCTAAAAGCAGAATATCGTGCAGGTAGTAAGACAATATAGTGATTTTACCCACGATCTGAACTGACACTAAGGTGGCACATACGACCCGTCTTGTGCAGATTTTTACCTTGATGGTTCCGTCCGAGTGACTGCTTAAGACCCGCCCATTCAGATGAACCAGGGACAAAACCTCTCCATTTGAGCTGGAATCTAGTGCACCAACTTCCGTATAACTCCAGAGCTCTGTCTAATGGGCAGACGATTAGTAGTAAGCTATGGATCCACTTTTAGTGTGAACTAAGAACAAAACCCTTTCCCCAAACCCGACTTACTGCATCAACGGATGGCACGTTCATCAAGGCTTTCATTATATCATTGACCACCAAAGAACTTCTCCTGAGCTTTCTCAACGTTTTGTTGATGGATGTTGCATGAAGTCCCAGTTCCTCAAGTGCAGCTTCGTAATCAGTAACCAAGTTAGTTCGGTTTCAAAGAAATATACATACTAACTGTCAGAGTTACAAATAAAACCCACCTGGGTCACTAATGAAAGTTTTCAAAACAAGGCATGCTAAAATCTTCTCCTCCAGGCTGTTAGAAGATTGGAGAACGTTTACAAGTTCATCAAGCAAGAACCTGCGAGCAGTCTCTTGTACCCCAGTATCTGGGAGCGTCGAAACCATGTGGCAGAGCCAGGAAACAATGACAAGACAGGACTTTGCCATCTCTAATGATTTACTCTTCAGGCATTCCTTCATAACTTCAAAAATGTACCCTTTTTCATGGTTACAAAGAACAAGTGCTATCCTCTTCTCCCATACGCTGACTGCCTTCTCTTCCTCCTATAGCATGTATATCTATGATTCAGAATCGGAGAGACGTACAGTGAAATAAGTTCCATAGAAATTATAAATTTTAAAAATAGAAACCTCTCTCTCTGATAATTCGTAGTCAGGCTTCCTCAGTCCCTCAGCCTTCATCAAAGCATTGTAAGGCTGATCAAATCCTGCAAGTTTGAGCAACCACGCTTCTGTGTAGGACTTCCCCGAGGAAGTCAATCGCCCAGATAGATATAATGAAGCATCTACAGCTGCAATTTGAGAATTATAGTTGTCCTTTCTTCGAAAGGCTTCAAACAGTGCATCTATAGATTCTTCTCGGTAAATGCTCATTCTTCGTGGTTCAGTCTGACACAAGGAAGATTGTCTATTAGTTTCCATGTGAAAATGATTTTCGCATGCATGTAAGCTGTTAAAGGATCTAGTCAAACCAGGAGATCCAGCTGGAGAAGAAGAGAACCAATGCCCGGCTGTTGCTCAATTGGAGCCATTCGAAGATATGTAAGAAGTGTATGCATCGTACTGAATGCTCCTTCATCTTTAATTGTCTGCAAAATTTGATTGCATTTTGTCCGTCTGTAATTCCCCAACAATGATCAGAAATTGAAATTGAGTTATGATGCGGAATTAACCAGAGGCAGTTATTTGGGATTGCGATATATGACAAATACCATACATGCCATACGAATAATTTGACTCAGGTTTTGGGAGTTGATAATGCTGCTATTTTAATTAAAGAAAACTGGTTGAAATGTAGTTTATGGTGAGTGATGGTATTTATATAACAAGCATTTAATTTTGACCCAAGCCACAAAATGCAGGAGGAAAAAAAAAAAAAAACAATTTCAAGATCAGTTGATTTTCAGTAGTTGAAGGCTGCTTAGACCTTTGCCCACTTTGTTATGAAAAACAACAGCATGAAACAAGGAGCCCACCATATAGGCAACTTAACTAGAGAAGTAATATTTAAAACTGATTGCACAACAAGAGAAATTTGTTTTCAAGTGAATTAGTATTATACCTGTGCATCTGAACCAGCTCTGACAGAAAAGCCACACACAGGCCTCTATCGTCATCATTTCCAGTATGAAGGAACTCAAGAACTGGAGCAAGCTCAATCTCCTCTGCTATTGAGTCCTTGCAACCTTGGTCGACCCGCATACAACATAAAAGTATGGAAAGTATTGGCCTCCTCACTTCTACCCGACCCAAAAACTTGACTAATGCAGGGATTCCTTCAGCAGAGGTAAACCTCTCAGCATTCCTGGACTGGCTAGTTTCATCCCCTCCCATAAAAATCTGTTCGAGCATTGCGATAGCAGCATTTTTTGGCTCTATTACAAACGGAAGATGATCAAATTCTTCATTTTTCTTCTGGATCATCTGGGCTAGGGAAGGTATAAGGTCATGAGCTGACAACTGAGTAAATGTAGGCCTTAGCAGGCACATAAGAACAGAAGCCTCTGACAACCCACTCGTCAGCAAAGAAGCTAGGCAATAAAAATCAGAATCTAGACTACTAAGGGACTCTCCAACATTTCCATCAGCACAAATAAGCTCCGAAAGAACGTAAATCGAGGTTCTGAGGACTTCTCTCTCACGGGAATTTAACAGTATTTCCACAAAGCCGTTCACAACAGCCAATTCGGATAAATAAGAATGGACCGCTAAATCGCCTTTCGAGTCCTTCCAGAACCCTGCTATAGCGAGCACAGCTGTCTCACATTGTTTCAAGCTTTCGAAATTACAAAGACAAGAGACAAAAGGTTTTAAACTGTTAATGATTTTCTCGACTGTGGCCTGGGATATTACACTGGTCGGCGATGAAGATACTGCTTCTTGCATTAATCTTTTGCCTTTTTGGTTAAGAGACTCGTACGTACTGTTTAGAGGAATGTGAAATGGTCGGCAAGGAGTAGATGCCAGAGAATTCGCCATTTTGAAGGAAGAACTGACAGTACTTACTACTGATGTACCAGTCCAAGAACAATCCTGAGCAAGATCAGGATGCTGTTCCTGCCAAGACGTAATCAGTCTTTTCAAGACATAATTCATTTTAGGCATTACAGTTGAAGACAATGGCTGCCGTGTAATGGGGCAAGTTGTATTTCCTCTTTTCAACCATTCCTGAATCGCTTTTCTTTCATAAGTCTGTCCAGTTTCAAGAGTAACAGGCTCACTGAAAATCTGACCTGTTATGGGGCATACGAAATCTTTAGGGGGTCGTACTATATGTGTCACAATCTCAGACGAACGACTTCTGCTTTCCTCCTCAAGTTTGTCGATTAAACTGTAGAAAATTTAAGAAGTTTCAAGGCAATTATGTTGTGTGAAAATAACAGCTCCAATTAATGGAAAGTGAAATATTGTAATTACCAATTCTCGAAGTCTTGGCTACTCACGTCGTTATAGATTGCATTGTGCGTTTGTCTATATCTTCTCCTGTGGCGGTCTTTCTTCAAGTCCAAAATTGAAGAGCAATTGCAATTAAAAGACATATTTGCCAAGCGCAATTGTGCAAAGAGGGAACATGAAACAGAAAACAGAAATACATCGAAAAGAAGGGTTAAGAACACAAGATTAGTACGAGAGAAACACTCACTTCACCCTCAGACTCTACTGGACTGAAGCTGTGATCGCTTCCTGTAGCTGGTGATCTGGGGACATAGGTAGCAACACGTTGCCCGCCGAAGCGACTAGATAACAGTCGCAATGCAGAACGAGATTCATTTTTACACTTCTCATTCGCTGTTGGAGATAAGTCTTTCGGTGAAGGGATTGAAGGAGATGAAATTGGAGAAAAAATGGTGGGAGAACGTTTGCAACTCCCCATTTTCGACGTCTCCCCTTTAGGTCCTATTTGCTCATCCTCTGACGTCCTTGTGCTACTAGGTGAGAGTAATTTATGTGTCACGGTATCGCTAAGTTCGTAAGAATCGAAAGGTTCATGATCAGAATCGTTCTCAATCTCCTCTAGTGAATCATTCTAGAAAGATAAATCAAAACAGAGCTTATGTTATTACTGAATTACGAGTATAACCGGCAGAGTTCCTTCTGGCGTATATATTTAGACCATTCTAGCAATTGAAATGATGAGAAGTGAAATTTGAACTCAAGACAAACCTGAGCATACCGCCCTGCAAATTTCTCTGAGCTGTTGGCTGGACTGGAAGTCCCCTTTGGCCTATTTGGAACCCAAATATTTGGTTAGAAAAATAAAGTAACAAATTAGAGAGCCATCCTGAGAATTTTGGAATCAAACCTGCTTGCTTCTGTTGCACCATCTTTAGATCTTAGCAAGATGGACGAAAAGCCGGCACTCTTGGGTAAAATAGGTCCAAATTTAATGTAATCGGGAATTGAGCGGCTAACTTCATGAAGAGGAGTCATAGGTGGCTCCGCGATTGGCAACATCGGGGCAACCTTCTTGGTAGAACTTGAATCAGAACTCATACAGTCCTTGAAGTATTTAGCAAAGAGCCTCGAATTCTCGTCCAAAGATTCTCCATAAAGCTTCTCCAACTTCTGTAATTTCTCCACTTGATCAGGCCTCAGCGAAAATATCAAAGATTCGTTGAAGAATTGATCTATATCAGCTGTGAAGGATAAATCAGAAGAATCAGGAATCACTTCGATCACAAGCCTGTGCCTCTCCTCTGAGTACCACCCAACGATTGAACTCATGTGTGGAAGAAAGAGTTCTTTCCAGAGCTCAGGAGCAAAATCAATGCGTGAAAAGAAGGGATCCACAATAAACATCTCAAGAATATGGAGGACTGAGTTGTGAACATTTCCTCGCAATTTCCAGAGATAAGAAAGATTTAGGTGAGCCCAAGCAGAAAGGTAGAAATTGGGAACTCCAGCAGTTTTCTCGTTAGAGTTTAACAAGGCACACACTTGAAGCATCTTCTCCGCATGGTCAAGCCGTGCAAACTTAGTTTCTATATTGGATGTGTTGAGAGCCTCCTCAAGGGCTTCAATACCCCAATCCAAATTCGCCAGCACTGCTTGATCGGAGTACCTAACCTCTGTATCTTTGTCATGGCTTCCGTCTTCAGCTGCCAATCTCTCGGCACATTGCTCTTTGTGAAGGTTCCTGTGCTCTTTATTGATCAAGCGACATCGAGTGAAATCACCAATGGTGGCAACCAATAATCTCACAATGTCCTTCTGGTCCATTGCAAACCTATATTCTCCGGCCATCCTTCGCCACAGTTCTCCCCTCGAGTTCGCTCTTTATTAGTGTAAAAGGCTAAGACGTAAAATCATTGCCTCTAATTTCTTTTTCTTCAGTTGCTGAAAATCTATCCGGTGGATAAGCTTACAAACACATTTCAATTCTCAATCGCCATTTCTTTATCTACCAACAATCAAATCAGACGATCAACACCTTGTTACAGTCTGCGACGGATATTAGGACAGAATTCTAGTAAACGATGACAGAACAGATGTATCACTGCTAAAAATTACACAAGGTGAAAATATCAACGAAAATTGGTTTCAGAAACAATCGTACACGTGAATCAATGAACTGAGCTCCAATCAAAGTTGATCCTGGACTTTTCTTCAGCGAAGTAACTTCATTCTGTTGTAAGAATCACTAAGCAAACTACACACGAATAACTAGAGAGGGAGAGTGATTGCAACGAATTAGGACATAGTTCGACTATAACAATGACAGAGCAATATCATCGAACGGTTGCATAGAGGGAAAACATCAACAAAATTCAGTTTCAGAACAAGCATTCGGGAGAAGCAGTGAACTGACCTACGATGGAAATCGAAGTTGATCCAGGACTTGTCTTCATCGAAGCAACTTCATTGCCGTGAGCATCACCCGCCAAATGATTGATGGGCGGCAGCTGGATGGGGGAAGATTTAGCTGCCGGCCTCGGTTCTGAGAGAGATAAGCAAACCGAAGACTTGCAATCATTTCTTAATTAATAACTATCGCTTTTAGCATGAGAAATAAAAATTAATAAGGAATTGGAACCGTCGTTTAGCGATTATGAAAAGGGAATGCATCATCGCCGTTTTGGTTCAAGAAGGATTGGAACTATCTAAGCCACATCCTATTTCCAACTTTTATTAACTGTCTTCAAATTTTCCAAATGACCAAAACGCCCAACTTTTGGCGCGAAATTTACCGACCCTACAGTTGTGGACCCATAACTGATTTTGTTTCTGTTTTTAGTTTTAAATTTTTAAGGCAAAAAAATTTGCTTTATCATAATTTTTTAAAAAAAAAATCAAATTTTGACGAGGTTTGGTAATAATACCAAAGCCAAGATGATGCTAATTGTTTGGTTCACGTTGACTTTTTCAGTTCAATTGTTGACTTTATTATGATAAATTTTTATTTCAATTTCTATGATATTGAATGCTTAGTATCCACTAATTATATTAATTATAACATAAATGATAATAAACAGGTTTTGCAGCTCAAATCTTCCTACCTATTGTAATTAAAAAAATAAGTAACGGTCTTTAAAAAATTAATAATAAATAAACGAAGAATAAATATGTAAATCAACTAGATTAAAATAACGAAATAAAACTTTATACTAGAAAGAAGAACCTTGCATTTTGATGGGCCAATGGATCTGGGCCAATGGATCTGGGCCGAACCCGCCTTCATCCATTTATGGTGCCGGTAAAACCACCGCCGCGGACTGAAGCGCGTCAGCCATGGGTCATATGGTTCGGGCTCTCCGGCACTGGCCGATGTTGCAGAATCACTGTTTCGGTTGCACCGTACATCATTTTCTCTCATCCCCGCCATGGGTCGCCAAAAGAATCGACTCTCTTCGACTAACTTTAGCTACCGTTCATTCTGCTCGTCGCGAAGTCCAACACGGATCGAAAGGTCTCAGATTATCCAAAGCTCAAGCTCCGGCCGAATTCCAAGAAGATGAGAGCGTTGATGAGGACTTGGATGTTAGAAAGAGCCGGAACCAGCTTAAACGGGAAGCTCGACGAGCCGTCCAATGGGGCATGGATCTCGCGGCCTTCTCCACTCCTCAAATTAAACGCATCCTTAGGTAATCATATCCTCTCATAACATTATCCGGCCACTTCTTATTCTTGTATAATGTTTATCACTGATAATCTTCGGGAGATGGTAAATGGAGTTTGAGTTTCCAAGTTTAGTGAGACTAATGCGAGATTTCTTTTACTTCTCCGGGGTGATAGAGTGGCGTCCCTCGAGAAAGATGTCTTCGATGCAATAATGCTTGTGAAGGTGATTCTCATAGCGCTTGTATTTTGTGGTTAGTCGTATCCTTTGGCAGTATGGCAACGCATGAACTTTTTATGTAGCTAAGGTGTTTGATTTTTTGACGCAGAGGCTTGGGCGTGATGTCAGAGAAGGAAAACGAAGGCAGTTTAGTTACATTGGTAAGCTGATATTTGATATTTCATTCTTTTGTAAAATGTGCATTTCGGCCATTCGTGTTAGTAGTTAGAACTGATAAAAATCACGACTCTCCAAAATACACCCTTTGTTCGACACTTGAGTCACTTTTGACTACACCTTCGAGGCTCACAACTTCTTTATTCGACATTTGAGGATTTTATTGACATGGCTAAATTAGGGCATGATTCTGATATCATGTTAGAAATCACGACTCTCCATAATAGTATGATATTGTTCACTTTGAGCATAAGCTCTTATGGCTTTGCTTTTTGTTTTCCAAAAGGTCTCATACCAATAGAGATAGTGTTCCTTACTTATAAACCCATAATCTTTCTCTTAATTAGCCAATGTGGGACCACTTCTTTTGATATTCTAATATAAGAATATTAAACTTGGATCACCTTGACGTGATGGTTTATCAAGAACAATTGAAGAAATATAAACTTGCTGTCTATGTGATCCTTGACAAACTTATGAGACCGAGATCCTGTAAAATGTAAGGCACAAAATCACACTTTAAGAGAACAGTCTTCTCAAATTTGAAATGGAGGGCCTTGAAATGATCATAACTCTGGTTAGGGTATTGGGGTCATTGTTCTAAGCAGCACGGACTTGGGACACAAACATGTCATGATGCAGATATGATGATATGTCAATTTCTACATAAGTAGAACACAAACACGTTGGGGACATGTTTTTTAGAATATATGTGTGTATAATTGATACATTAATACTTCTTTAGCTACAGAAGTGTAAATTTATTTTTCCTAAGCATTCGTATTCTGTGGCTCTGATAAATTGGCTTAATTTGCTATAGGAAAACTGCTGAGGGATGTTCAACCTGAATTAATGGACAGTTTAATACAGGCCACAAAAGACGGTGACCATAGCACGCTGCAGACATTGTCTGGTTCGGTAGCAGTTGACGATGATGAAGATACAGACTCTGAATATGAGGAGGAGGAAGAAGAGGTATTTTATGTCCTGGTTCTTTTACACATTACCGCTTCTTTTGCATACCAAATTGTTATAATTTTTGTTAAAGTTTATTTGTCTTGCTGATCTTTTCTAAGACTATACTACAGCATGGAACCGAATGAAATGTAAAAACTACACTTAGAAATTAGAGCCAGCGAGAATGGCTACTGTTGCTTTATTAGGATTTAACTTTGATTAATATACAGGAACTTGTCAAAACTGTAAAAACCCATGTTTTTTTTTGTGATGAGTAAAAACCTGTGTTTCTGGACTCAATTGAAGGGGCATTATGTTCATAAATGTCATTTTATACCATGTTCATTTTAATTTTAGAATTTTTCTTCCCCTTTCCCTCCATATCTTTCTTAATTAGGGTCCGCATGTGGACATTGCTACAAGATGGCTTGATGGGTTAGTCAGTAAGGACAAGAACGTTACAAATGAAATTTATTCGCTACAAACTGTGGAATTTGACCGTCAGGTACTTGACTTACTACATCCCTACTTCTTTTCTCTCTTCTTTTCTTTTCATGTCAATGGTGTGCCACCCTTACCCATTTTTGTAACGTTCTAAGTTGTTTAAGATTTTGTGTGTGTGTGTGTGTGTGTGAGAGAGAGAGAGAGAGAGAGATAATAAACATTAAGAGAAAATGTCAAAAAGAGGTGAAAACCCCTATCCAAGGGAAATTAACAGAAAAAAAAAGAAAAAGAAAGAAAACACTTCCACTGGGCTATAATTGTAGAAAAGCTATAGCTCTGAAAATATGAAGAAAATGTACACTAAGTGAGAGCCAAAAGAAAGGATCGTGTTTGAAAAAAACCATGGAAGGCAAATAAAAGTTATTTAAGATAGTAGCAAACAAAAGAGGGCCTCTGTATGCTTCTAGCTGAAAAAGTTATAATCAGGTCTGCTTTGTCAACTATCAATTACCCAAGAAAAATAGGACAAGGATTTTCGGAACAATTACAAGTTGAAGCTTTTATTAGCTAAGTTAGATATTCTATTCCCATGCGATTCTGACTAGCATGAAAATCGTCAACAGGAGCTGCGGAGACTTGTCCGAAAAGTGCACATGGTTGAAGAACGCAAGGCGGCAACTGAAGAGAACGAGGATGAAGTCAATGTGGCAATAACAACCGCTAAGAAGCCCCTTGCTCGTTTTCTTTGTAGAATGGCGAAACAACTGCCCCCTTATGAACTCTAGTACAAATTTATTTGTGCACTACATTAACTTCACATTCTTTCTTATGCACACATATTTATTTTTTTAAAACCTTGCAGACGGTTAATGCTCACTTCCAACACATTTTTTCTTTTCCTTCTCACCTTCTTTCAACTCTGCTTGATCAAGTTGTTGAGTGCTAACTAGGCTCTTAGAGACTGTTTACCAGGCTATGTCTAATATGCATCTCAAGGTCTTTCTTGATCCTTTTCCTGTCCATGTCCAGCACTCTTCTCTGTAGGAATGCCTTTTAATAGTGGGGGAATTTATAAGGAAAGCAACAACAGCTAGCTTACATTGAGGGATGGTCATGATATTGTTCGTTCAAAATTGGGGTCTTGAGGCCTTTTCTGCATCAACTTGTGCCTTGAAAATTGTAATGTCTGGTCTATGATGGAAGATTAGTATTGAATGACGCCAGTCCTCTTTAATGGCATTTACGCGCTGATTGAACAATGGTTGGAGGTGAGTGACGTAGGCTCCCACATCAATACCTCCAACCAAGACCTTCGGTTGATGTGGGTTTGAACACTGAGAAAGGAAGGGGCGTTGAGAATTGGAATGTTCCCCGGTAGTTGGTCGGTTTGAGACCATTGATTTGCTTAAGGAATCAAATTTGATTTTGGAAACGGGAAGTTGTATCCAACTTGAAATATTGTCAACTTTGGTAAACAAACTGAAGAACCAAATGGGAAAAACGCTCAGTTGGCAGCTACGTGGAACCATAGTCAGCGACCCCACGTTTCTTGCAATAAAAACGTGGCCCAATCAAACCAGTGTTTTTTCTCACAGTATGCTTCTTTTTAATTTACTGATTAATCTTAATTACCTATTTAAATATTATATTTTTTTTCTTTTTAATTTTAGCATGGTCTACAAAATATGGATTTGTGATATTTGATAATTACAAGTTGACTTTGATATAATCTTATTTGTCTATCAAATTATTGGCTAAATCATGCCAACTCATCTGAATTTATTAAATCAAGTGTCATGTGTAGTAGTTCTATTAAATTATATGTATTAGAGAGAAATTTTAATATATATTTAGTGGAAGAAATGTTGAGTATGAATTAGATAAATACACAAATTTTATATATTGATGGCATAATTTGAAATTCTTAAAAGCAAGAAATCATTTGGTTCATTTTTTTTTATTTAAATAAATAAATAAAATATTGACCATGGGCCCAGGCCCACTAAGCATGAGGCTAGAATGTCCGTTTACCTTCGGTTGGTGTCTATAAATACGCCATTCATCCGTTCCTTCAAGAGCTCACT